ATGAACTTGAGTTTCCTCTTCAAATTAATAAATAGTGAGATAAACTGCCCAGAACTACTTCAACTAATAACTTTTCATATTGAACAAAAAGATACCTTCTTGACTCTTCTCAAACTTTTATCTTCTTGTTTGTTCTTTTTTGCAGTAAGAACGCCTTAGTGCAAGTAGTGCAGGTGAATTTGCCTGTATTTAGGTTGCATCAGGTAATATTGTATATACAATACAAAACACAGTTCTAGAAACAGTGAAACTAGAGAAAATCCAACACAAAGGACATTATCTCATGTAACTTTGAAACCAAAAAAAATTTGCCTGAACGTTTTCACATTCCTGAAATTAATACTATTATCATCCTAACCATAATTAGCCATGGATATAATAAATCATTTATTTCTTTACTTCGTCAGGAATATGTTGAAATCAGCCTGATCGGTGTGTCGTTTTTAATTATAGGGCTGCACTATGGAAAATATAAATGAAAACTAAAGAAAAAACATGTTTCAACTATTTCTGGACCCGCCTCTCACTGTCAAAACTCCGACGCCTGTCTTCTAGACGCTCTCGAAGTGATTGACCCTTAAACCACGCCACTCTTCGAAAGAAAGAGGTGTTAAAACGAAAGGGGCCTTCACTCACGTCATTAAGTACATGCTATTAAATATGTATTAATTTAGAACAACCACTTAACATATCAAGCAAACACACGAAATGGCCTGTTTCTACATGTTTGCTCTCACTATTACATTCAACGTTTGATTTTTGTTTGGATAATGACTCATTGGTTGAATAGGAAAGCGCCACTTACTTGTGTCGAGTTCTGAAATCTGAGACACGCCCATCTTCAGTAAATTATTTCTCGTATATGTCGAATTATGTCGATTTAGGAATTTTTCCGACTAAACATGTTTACATGGCAGATACCACGTGAAGTGCAATCCCAGCTGAATAATTTTCTAGAGTGATTTGAACGAATGTGTTCCAACTTTTTGAAAACAGTTCGCACCATCAAAATATCTCAAGAGAAGTTTGCAAGAAGCAATACGAAGAATACCTCCGGAATGGGGAATGTTCCTCCTCACGACAATCAAGTATTTTTCATAAAAGAGCTCTAAAACAACGCATTTTAAACTTATCATTTCAACCTTTTTCTTTAAAAAATTATTAAAATACTTGAAAAGTCTTTGAATATCAATTG